AAGGAAAGGTTTTGACTAAAGTGATGAATACCATTTTTCTTGCCATTCCCTTCTTGAAGTGACTTGGACAGTTGAACCCCAACCCCAAGAAAAAATAGTGGGTGCACCCCCTCTCAATTTTGACCCTGCATATTCATAGTTAAATTGTTTTTACATGATACAAAGACGTACAATTTTGGAAATCTGTCATCGGGGACGGTCGTAGAAAATTTTGGGGCCCAGGAAAAAAAAATTGGGGCCCTTATAATTTTTTAGGTAAATTAGGGCGGAACCTCCGAAAATATTTATTAATTAAAAAAATAATACAATTTAAGGTTGGGGACTCCCCACCGATGGAAAGATAAGACTTCGGCTCAGGCCCCTGGAAGCCAAATAACCTAGCAACTATTAATACAAAATAACAAAATAAAAAGGACAAAATACGCTCTCAACCCTAATACATAAACATAACAAAGAAAACAAAAGAAATTTACATTTACGAGTTTTTTAGATGAAAATTCATCAATTATAGAATCAAGTTCAATATTATCCAAAAATCCTTTTAAATGCATAACATTGCATAACCATTTAATCTTTCTTGTGATATTGATGATCTCAAATAAGTTTTTAATAATTTTATTTTTGAAAAATTTCTTTCTGTTGATGCTGTAGTAATAGGTATTTTGCAAAGAATTTTGTAATACTTTAAGTTTCATAAAAAAATCATTTAAATCCACATCACATAGGTTATTATGAGAAAACTTATTAACAAAAATTGTACAATTTTTTTTTTAAGTTCAATATGATCCAATGACTTTAACCTTTTCGAATCATATAAAAATCCAAAAATGCTTTCAAAGTTTGTTAATTGCTCAAATCTACTCTCTAATGACGCAATTGTCACATTAAAAATATGTATAAAATACTAGATTCTAAATGATTCTTCGGGTGATAGTAATTCATCTTCACAATTAATTTCATCAAATTGTTTTTTTCTAATAATTTGGCGTTTTTTATTTTGGGAATATATGTTCAACATCCATATCCGATGCAACGGCCTTAGCATTATCTATACTAAGGGCATAACCATCATTTCTATTATTTTTAAAAAAATGGCATCATATTTTTTAATAGATAAATTGTGGAATCAATACATATAGTTTTGGTTTGCATTTTTTACTAACTTATTTATAGCAAACAATATCATACCATATTACGATACCAAGTAAAAATTCATAACTTTCAATAGCATGAACTAAACTTTCAGCTTCACTTTTAAACTTTGCATCATCACATAATAAAAATAATTCTATCAAGGCATCCCTTATATGAGGAGCTTGAAACCTAATTGCTTTTACACTTTTTATTCGACTCTCCCAACGTGTATTAGATAAAGATTTTACCGTTAAGTTACAAACTTTATCAAGTAATTATGACTATCTTGTGGTTGAAGTTGAAAATAATACAAAAATGCATTCCAAAACTCCAAAAAAATGGCTTTAGCACAAGCATGAGCCATATCAGTAATCGTGAGGTTAAGATTATGACAAGAACATAGCATAAACAATGTTTTTGGATTAATTTCAAGTAATCGTTTTTTAACCCCCTTCACGTTTTCCTTTCATGTTAGAGTAAATTAGCCATTTCCGATCACTTGTCCCACCATTACTTAACTTTCTAGTATAAGAAACATAAGAGAAATTTCTAGAAAGATCATATTTAGGATACACAAAATTTGATTCTCTTATTGGCCCTTTTTAATCAAAATATCTATTAATTTAATATCAAGATTATCTCAATTACTAGGATCATATATATCTAAAGATGGAATAAATTGGTCATTGTTATCATTCATGACATTTTCATTTTCATTTTCATTTGTAATATTAACATTTTCATAAGTAACATTAAAATCTTCATTATTAATATTTTCATCATCAATATCAACATTTTCATTTGAAATACTTTCATTTATGACACTATCTTGCTCATTTAAAACAAGTTCATGTGTAAGATTATCTTGTCATTTACTTGTACATCAGCATAATTGTTTTTTTAAACTAATGCATAGATCATTTTTGAGTTTCATTATCTTATTCAATTTTTTGTTATATATATATATATATATATATATATATATATATATATATATATATATATATATATATATATATATATATATAAACAAGTCAAAATGTATTCTGGAACCATGTTCCGGAATCGTACCCAAGAATTTCGGAGTCCTTTCCGGAATAATGTGTTCCGGAGAATGTGGCTACTTTACAAAAAAAAATGTCTCATTTTTGTAAAAATAGCATTTATAAGGGTTAGATTACTCAATTTCCCATAAAATAATAATTGTACTAAATAAACGAATAAAATAAAATGAAGAAATAAATGCATATTTTAATTAATATATGTATCTCTATAAGGTGGAGGGGTATGGGGGTAATCTCGCGTAAGGATCTAGGTGGAGGGGTTGTTCACGCGTGAACACCGCCCTCGCTAGGAGTAAGTATGACGCAGATTGATGCTAGTCAGAGACGTTCAAGGACGATTTCATTGGTTATTCAAATTTTGACCGTTTGGCATTCAATTTGTTACCGTTTAAGAAATAAAAAAAATATATTTTTTTAGATTTAAACTTCACCTATATATACAAACACATAATACACATCAAATATTTCACAACAAATACACTCAACAGTTTGAATAATTTTTTGGGTGTCATTTCTTCATCTTCATCCGATGAAGATCATTCTGATGATGATGAGTTGATTATGCACACGTTGTTGTCCGCGCCACATGATATTATGCATCAGAGAGGTGAAAGTTCAAATGTCGAGAAGAAATGTAGAAAGTCGATCAACCTGGATCGTATCGTGGAAAACGAACTTTTGGTACGTGATTACTTTACCACTTATAGTTTATATGACCTATCAAAATTCGAAGATCGTTTTCGTATTAGTAGAAATTTATTCGTACGTATTGGTAGAGATTTAGAAAATAATTATGAGTTTTTTCAATTAAGATAGGATGCTAGAGGTGAATGTGGTTTTACTAATTTCAAACATGCACATCAGCTCTTACACAATTGGCATACGGCATAGCCGTAGACGCTTCAGATGAATATTTGAACATGTCTGTGAGGACCGGTCGAGAATGCACATATCTTTTTTGTGAGTATTTTATAGAGCTTTATAGTGACATATACTTGGAAATCCGACTAGAAGTGATGCCGAACAGTTCTATGTCGCACATCAAGCTAAACATGGCTTTCAAGAAATGCTTGGTAACCTTGATTGTACACATTGAGTCTGGGAAAACTGTCCTAATGCATGGCGAGGGCAATTCACGTAAGGTGATCATGGAGTGCCGATTGTTATACTAGAAGAAGTTGTTTCACTAGACCTATGGTTTTGGCATGCATTTTTTTGTTTGGCGAGGTCAAACAATGACTTGAATGTGCTTGGAGCATCTTCGTTATTTAACGACATTTTGCAAGGTAAAGTACCAAACAAGTCATATGTTGGCGACGGGATATATCCAGAGTACGCTATATTTGTCAAGTCATACTCATATCCGACCGATGAAAAACGAAATTTATCCAAGTTAACATAGGAATCTTCAAGGAAGGATGTGGAGCGGGCGTTTGGAGTCCTCAAACAAAAGTGAAAAATAATCAAACATCCAACACGACCATGGGATAAGGAAAAAATGATGAAGGTGATGAAAGTGTGTGTTATTTTACATAACATGATAATAGAAGAAGAGTGTAGGGCTATTTGTACATATACTCCGAATGATATACTCAATCCACCTCTAGTAATACAAGTTGGCAGCCCAACATACTTACAAGGCTTCTGGAAATACAAAATACTGAAACACATCACAATCTATGTCATGATTTGACCGGCTACATATGGCAACGACAATTCGAAGATCATTATGACAATGACAATGAAGAGGATGAGGACGCAGACGATGGAACGAGGCCGACATTGAGGACAACGATGACGACAAGTAGTATTTTTTAATTTCAGTGTTTTATTAATGTTACTATTTTTATTAGTAAAATATATGTTGAAATTTAAAAATATTATTTTTATTCAAGTTAATGTTTTTTTATTTATAAAATATTTATTTATGTTTAATAAGTGTGTTTTTTATTTAATATGATGTCAATTTTTTTAAAAAAAGATAAATAATATGGAGTGATAACCATTTCTAAGTACTAGTGAACATGTAGTGTGGATGTGATGTGGCACATAGGTAAAATCACATTTCTAATGAACATCTTGTGAGAATACCCCATAGCAGACACTTACATACTTTTAACATTGACAACACATATAGAAGATTACAGCACACAACCTGTATTCGACACTTTCATATCATTTTCAAATAGTTAATTTCATTATCACGTATTCAAATAGAGAGAATGAGAAGGCTAAATAAGAGATAGAGTATATGAGAGTGGACGAGGGAGATATAATCGAGTATATACCATGAAAGCGATAGAGTTCAATACGTACTGAGACATTGAGTTTTATCGGAGGAGTATGATGAACGGCTTGGTCTATGACGGGCAACAATGAGAGCTTGAGGCGGCAAGAGTCAGAGAGGTGATGGAGACGGCGACCATGTGGTTTTCAGCTAGAGTTTGTCACTTTGAGATATTAAAAGTAGATTTTTGTGGGATATATGAGATTTATTAAATCAATAGATAACTGCATCAGAATTTAAGATTTTATAAGTTTTTATTTTAAAATATTTTAATTTTCTTTTTTTGTTTTATTAGATAGAAAGATTTTAAAATCTTGAAATCTTGAATGGTGTTTTTCTCCCTCTCAAAATAATTGAGACATGCGTTTGTATTTTTTTTAATACAGAAAAATGATAGAAACCACTTTCTTTCTCACAACCTCCGTGCTTAGATCTGCCATGAATGGGGCCTTTGAAGCCTCTCAAAACAGACTCATGAGTCATGAATGGCATACATGTACATCGGTCCATGGATAGATGAAGAGTAAAAGAGACAAGACACACAACTGGCTTTTCTTAATGAACTCCTGTCTTTGGCTATGTATACAACAGGTATTAGTAGGCTAAAAAGTTGGGAGGCCATGGCCTCCCTGGCCCCTTAAAGATGGACCTTTAACAACATTCTTGAGAACCAAAAGAACATATGAAATCCTAGCTAGTTGGTTGAAAACATATGAATGTCATTTGCAAGTTTCTCGACATTCAAGAAAGATGAGCCATTAGGACTTGTCGCAATTTCAATCTTTTTCTTCCACTCCATAGCCTGGATCCTCATTTGTTTACCCATCTCTCCTCCAATCAACTCCTTTGTGAGCTTCTCAACTTCATCTCTCTTCACAGTCTCTCCGATTTCCATGCCAACTTTCCATTCCTTGCAAATTTGCCTACAGATTGTTGGTTGGTCCCATAAAAAAGGCCAGCACAACATGGGGACCCCAGCCGTGAGGCTCTCAATGGTCGAACCCCACCCACAATGAGTCAAGAACCCACCAACTGAAGGGTGGTTCAACACTTCTTCCTGGGGACACCAACTTGCGATAAACCCTTTCTTATTAATAATCTCTTTGAGTTCTTGAGGAAAGACAATAGACTCTCCAACAACCAAATTAGGCCTAATGATCCAAAGAAAATAATGGTTGCTATTAGCAATTCCCCAACCAAACTCTAGCAATTGTTGTGCAGACATCACTGCTAGACTACCAAAATTTACATAAATTACTGAATTTGGTTCCTTTGATTGCAACCAGTTAAGGCACTCAGGTTCTTCCTTCCATAAACTATAGCCTTTATTGTCCAACTTCTTTGTTTCTTGCTCATTTTGTATATGTTTTAGTAGCAACTCCAGCGGTCCGATCGTGTAGATGTGAGGAAATATGGGGTTGAGGGCTTTAATGACGGTGGACTCTAAATCTTCAAATGTGTGGATGATTATATTTGAGATCTTCCTCGTTGCTTTAGCACACTCAATGACAAAATTATAGTCTACATCATTTGGGTCTGTGGTTCGAACATAACCTGGAAGATCCTTTAAACGGATTGCTTCCAAACCTGGAATCCAATCTATTATAGTCTCAAGATACCCATTGGTGAGGCAACTTTCATCTGAAACATTAGTAAGAATTAGTATGATGATGAACAAATAAGTAAGCATTTTCCAAACGGTGTTAATCCGATTTCATTTCTTATATGGGGTGCAATAATATTCTGAATTTCAACTTTCAAGTAATTATTAATCTATTTTAGCCCACTAATATTTATGAAGAATTCCGTAAAAACTGCGTGTATTCTTTCAAACTTTAATGTGAAAAATAATTTGAAAATCAACGTATTGAGATCTATAGTTTTCCAAACAAAAACACATTCAAGAACCCGACATGATGAGTTACACAATTTGTTATCTTTAAAAATATAGGTCTTACAAAGTTAATAATCTTTTTATAGATAATATATATTTCTAAGTAAAATAAGTTCTTATAATTATCATTAGAATATTCTACTTTTTAATTTTTAAATAAAGTAGATAATATTTGAATTTAAAATTTTAATACATCAACTTAAAAAGAAACTAACCTTTAAGTGGAATAAGTTTTTTTTCAATTAGATTTGGAGCTTGGTAATAGCCCCAGAAAGCACTAGCAGAGAAGGTCCAAAATTGCATGGTTGGTACTTTAAGCGTCTCCGCAGCATCAACAGTGAAAGGCGTCATACCATCACCAATAATACAAGTAACTGGAATCTCTAGTCTAGCCACGAGATCAAGAAAGTAACCCAAGAAGTTGGTTAGAATAGACTTAGAGAGTTCAAGCCTATCCCATCGTAAATCATCGGGAATACCATCAGGAATGGTCTTGAACTGGAATCCAGGTTCATCATCGAGACAGTGTGGCCCTCCGGACTTGAGTAAATGATTGTGGTTGATCTCAGTGTTTACAAAGGTTATGTGTATGCCCTTGAGGTGCAGTAGCCTTGCTAGTTTCAGCATACACTTGATGTGGCTTTGTGCTGGACATGGTACGAACACCACATGCGCCTTGCTTTCACTGTTTACTAGCACAGTTTCCATCGTATGTATGTGAGAGAAAACTATGATATGTAGGTTTGGATTGCTAGATGAAGCTTGTTATATATAAGACAATTATGTGATTACGTGTGCAATTGTGGGTGGGTGTGTGTATGGATTGTATTATTCGAGAGAATTCGAAAATTTTGAAATAAAGACAAATTACTTTAGTTGACAGAACACATTTAAAATAATTAACTTGTTAAAAACTCAAGTGAAATTAAAAAATAATTAATTTTCATTTTATCAAAAACTAATAACTATGTAACTTAATTAAAATTTATTCGGCATTTATCTTGGATGTTCAGAATTACGATTGCAATTTCGATTTAAATCACAAAGTTTTCCACCATTCGCAATTATTATGTTGAACAAATGTGTAAAGAGATAATTTCATGCATAATTAAGTATTTGTTATTTTTTTTAAAAGAAATCTTCAAGAAAATTCTTAAAGTTTAACCTAACCTTATAAACCAAAAAGTCGTTCTTTATTTTTTTTATTTAGGATAAAACCCAAAAAATTGATAAACATTTGCAGAATAAGCTTTGTATTAGTTTATGTTTATCGGTTTTTTGGGCGTACTTTTAAATAAAAATCAGGAATGATTTTTTTTGTTAATAATGTAACATTTTGGATTTTTTTAAAGATTTCCTTATATTAATCTAATGCCACTAATTTCGATTTATTTCGCTAACCTTTATCTTAAGAAAAGTTAAATTTTTATTTTGTTTATCTGGTTAACGAAACCGATCTACCCGAATCTTATTTCTTTTGCTAACAGTAAGTTTAAAATTATATTAAAAATTGATTAAAACCAACCAAGTAAATCAAAATCCGATACATGATATGTTATATTTTCAAGACTACACTCGAGTAATGCATCACGTAGTCGATAATTAGTATCTCCAATACAATGGATTTCTGGTTATGCATCACGTAGTCGATAATTAGTATCTCCACTAGAATGGACTTCTAGTAATTAATACGATGAGTGGTAAATAGATATGAACAAAGAACCGACTAAAATTGGTTATAGTAAATTGTATTTAACCTGGTCACTTCTAAAAATTTGGAAACTCTCTTTATTGTTATTCTTCACACCTAAGACCTAAAAATTCAATAATGAAGGTAGCCTAAATAGTAGCCATATTCATGTGACAACTACAAGGTACCTTATTTATGCATGCCAAGGAGACTAATTACAATGGCAGGTGAAAGATAAAAGGCTGCCATTAAACAACCAAATACAATCCATAACTGTAGCTTACCAAAGAACCTCTGAAAATCGAATGGCACGTCGGAAACGAACGCTTACCAGAAAATGTTATTCCCAAATAGAGCTTCATTAGACATACCATGTGGCCTAGAAATGCACTTCTAACGACAAATTCACAAAAGTATGCTTAAGTTATATAAGATGTCAATGTTATCTTTATGATTGTAGTTATGATATTTATTGAAGAGAAAATCACCAAACATAAGAAATCTTTCATGGAAAATCAACATCTGATCATAGCCTCAGAGATAGTTGAGGCAACCTCCTCTGCAATGATCATGCGGATCTCCTCGTCACTAGTACCACTGCTCCCGGGGTTGTTGCGAGTAATTACCATAGTGTCTCTGAAACGCAAACATGAAAATCATCAGAGACTAGCTCAAGCACTCACGCCATTACTCATCCCTACATGCTCCTTAGTATCCTAAGGTTCTTACGTGGGTCGCATACAGATCCGGTGCTTTCAGTAGTACGGGCCTAATACTACCTTCCACACTAACCTATAGTCGTCCCAAGTCCTCCTCCTAGTATCCTAATTCACAAGTACTCTATCCCTCACGGATCTCAAAATACTCTATCGGTAGATTCCTCAATGCTCATCTAGGTATCTCTCCTAGATTACTCAAAATCCTCTCTAAAGAAAATTCTTGCTATGTATCCCTACTCAGCACACTCGCAGAGAAAATAGCAGATAAGATCAATCAATAGCATTTCCTAGGCTAAGGCATCATGAATCAGGCAACTCTAGCTCTAAATCCCTAAAATACCTAGCCTATTTTCTAGCATGCAACTCTAATATCTCATAAGTATCTAATAATATATACAAGTAATGGTATTTTGGGAAATCACCGTTCGGGCTCTGGCTGATTGTACACACTGCTCCGTCTCGTTTTCTCTTTAAAACTCTTACTCGTTTTAGAAAAATCGTTTCTTTTTTTTAGAAAATTTTCTCAAATCCTCAGTTTGATTCCAGACATACCTGAAAGTACATCTGAATCCCTCAAACCAAGGCTCTGATACCAACTTGTAACAATCTAAATTTTTACATAAATTTTTCATTTTTAAAATCACATAAAACCCAATATCACATTTCTCAAAAAACCACAATGTATAAGTTGCCAAAACACAAGTCAACAATTATTTGATAATATCCCAGAATCCTCAAAAACATAAACTCCAACTGGTGTGTACAATCAAGCCAACGCCTTCCCACAATCCTGAGAAGTACCTGAAACACATATCACACAACACTGTAAGCACAAAGTTTAGTGAGTTCCCCAAAATACCACATGTAAATAATTAGCCTCTCATGGCTATATCTCGATAAGGACACTCCGGTCAATGTGTATCAGTGAAGACCCTCCGGTCTCACAACTCTATTCGGACCCTCTGGTCCTAACTCATCAAGGCACAACAATAATATACAGCACATATCACAAAGACAAATGCAGAATATCAAATAACTCAGTATAAGCATATAAGACCCTATGGTCACATAATATCACCACTCAGGTAAGTATAGTGAGAAGACTCACCTCGTAAGTAAGCAAGTAGGTCTCGCACTCGATGATCGGTCTAGACTCCGCCTACTTATCATAATCATCTCTAATTAACACTTAATAATAACAACCCTAAAATGTTAGGCTACCCCTTTTCTAACTCTCGGAAAGGGTGAAAGACCATTTTACCCCTCCATGGTCTCCATAACTCATGTCTTGACCAAACCCTAAAGGTCAACGAAATTCAACACTCGATTCAACAGTCCATGTTGACCCGAACTCGTCGAGTGCATCTATGTGACTCGTCGAGTCCCTCATGTTCTCAGAAAATCGGGAAAACTCCAACTCAACTCGCCGAGTTGTCTCATCAACTCGTCGAGTTTGCATGTTTCCAGACTATACGGAAAACCCTAACCGACTTGTCGAGTTGGCTCATGGACTCGTCGAGTCACTCTAGTCCATTTCTCATTCAGACGATTCTAAGCAGAACTAAAGTCTCAAACTCTAGATCTAGCCTCCCAAGGCTGAAATACCACGTAAAGCTGCAAGCTTTACGTCCATGCATGGCACCTAGGGCTCAAAATGCCAAAACAAAGCTATATAGAAGGTTTAATGTTTGGAACTTGGCCAATAGCTTGATAAACCTTGAATCTTTATGCTCAAGGGACCTCATACATTCTATATCTGAAGTTTCAACTTCATGTCATGCTCAAATGACTCAAAGGCTCCAAAGGAAGATGGAAATGGCCACAAACTTCCTAAAGAAGAGATCTAACCAAACAATGATCAAGGTGATAGCTTTTTACCTCCAGTTAGCAGCTAGTACTGAAGGAACACTGGATCCAAGGCCTTCTTCTCGTTCCAAGCCTTTTGCTCTTCTATCTCCTTCCATGAATACACCAAATCACACACTTTTAGCCTCCCTCTCTCTCACGGATGATACCAGCTCGTTTAGGGTTTCTCTCAGGGTGTTAAAGTGATAAGGGAGGCGGAAATGAAGGCTTAAGGTCCTTTAAATAGGGTACAAACCCTGAAAATTAGGGTTTTCACACTCAGCTCCTACTCGTCGAGTTGGGGTCCTCCAACTCGTCGAGTAGACTCTAAAAAATCACGCGGCCATTTAATTCTCTACTCGGCGAGTTGGGGCCTCCAACTCGTCAAGTTGCTCTGACAACATGAATATAAATTAATTAAATATTATACCTGAGAGTCGGGATGTTACACCTACTTACGATTTGCTTTGCATCCATATGCTATTTGGTGGTGAATGTTTTTTTAAATACTTACATTTGACTACGAATTTGTTAAGGTTAACGATGAAATCTGACAGTATTGACTATGAATCCGTATAAATTACTAGAATATATTTAAAACTAAAATATTTTAGAATATCAGTTATTTCTTTTGAATTCTCATTTTTTATGTTTATACTAAAATGAGTTTTAGTGAATATTTAGTTTCAGTTGGGTCTTGTTCTTTGTTATTCTTGTCTACAAGTTATAATTTTTATTTCTATTGGTTTTCTGTACTTTTAAGGGTTATCAATATAAGTTGGTAGTTGTAAAATTGATAGATTTTATAACATAGAAATAAAAAAACAAAAGACATAGATCAACTTAATTGAATGAACTTAGAAAGATAAATAAAATTTGTTTTTCATTAGAGAGTAAGGTTTGATAACAAAGAAGTAAGATCCTCGTGCAAAAAGTACTATCTCTCTCTCTTTCTCTCTCTCTCTCTCTCTCTATATATATATATATATATATATATATATATATATATATAGTCTAACATCCTTTATATAGGAGGATAAAGGAATCAGTTAGGTATCTGATCAATGAGGTCATGAAACCTAAGCCAAGACAACATGTCATAATGCTAACTGACCAAGACTGTGAAGTCTATGTAATAACTACGAAGCACAAACTTGCGAGACTAAACATGGTGTTCGCATACAAAAAGTCAAGACATATAGATACAAGACTTGCAAAACCTTTCGCATACAGACTCAACACAATCTAAACAATATGCGAGACCTAACAATAGTTATTTTAATAATCCGTTGGTAACATAATAATAACTTGAGGAAACCATACATATGTAAATCAAATGTGAAATTAAACTCCAATAATAAAAAATAAAAAGATAAGGATATACAAATTTGAAACACTAATATTTGTCAGCGGATGGGACGTCCAATAAGTAACCAAAAACCGTCATTCGAAATATTTCACGTTGGACATCATCCGATTCC